ATGGATATAATTATGATTACTATGAAAAATAACACTATGCCATGATCCATTGAAAAACAGATTCAATGAGAGAGGTAAATTTAATCCTTATTCGTGTAAACACAAGGGTTTACAATAGTAAGGACTCATTTGACAATGTTTTGAATGACCACGTTCCATAAACTTATAAAGTGTATCCATAAAGCTGTAATATTGTAATTTACAACAGAAAAGATCTACATTCCAAGATGAAGTCAAGAACGGACCTTGGCGATGTAAAGTTGGTCCTTATTCTTGTAAACGCAATGGTTTACAATATTAAAGACCCATATTACAATGGTTTGGACATAGGTGTTCCATAAACTTGTAAAAATCTACTAAGATTTGGATTCTCATTTATGCATTTTTGCACCTTGATTACAACTTTAAGGTTCTTTATAATCCATAATCTTGTAATATTATAATTTACATTAGAAATGATTTATCTTACAATGTTAAGGTAATAGTGAACCTTGGAGACTAAAATGTTGAAGAACTTGTAAACTTTGTGTTTGCAAGATTATGAATATACTTTACAAGTTTATAGAACACTGAGGTTCAAAACATTATAAAAAGGGTCTTTAATACTATAAACCATTGTGCTTATAGAAATAAGGACCACATTTATATAGCCAAGTACTAAGGCCTTGGGAGAGATTTGAACATGTTTCACATACCATGCAATTGCCAAACATGCGAGATAATTGCATACTGTAATGTAATTGTCAAACAGGCGATGGTAATTGCATACCAGAATGCAATTGCCAAACAGGCAATGGTAATTGCATACCGTAATGCAATTACCAAAGAAGATATGGTAATTGCATACCGTAATGCAAGTGCAATTCAAAAAACATGCAATTAATGTCTCCCGGTTTGGGAATTGCTCATTATGTTGCCAATCTACCCTTTAACTCCCACGTTATCTAAATACCAAACAAATGTTAAATGACAATTTTGTCTTTGAAGGTTAGTGGGAAATTATAAGTAATTTGCAATTAGCAAATGAAGATAGAATAATTGCGTTTATTAGCTTGTAATTGCATTTATTTATGCAATTAATATCTCCCTGTTTGGCAATTACAGGTTACCTAGAACAAGTTCAGATTTCTTGAAGTTTTTGTATTTTATGCATCGTTATGCTAGTCCAAGTTGGTTTCTAAGTTTAGGCGATTACAAATTTATGAATTAGGGTGAATCATGACATTCTAATTAATAGGAAAAACTGTGTGAATTAAGACCCGAAGTCTTGTAGCACATGTAATGGAATGAGATTTGGACAGATTTGCAATTACCAAACAGAGTGTAATTGCATTTGCGAAGTGGTTACCCGCAAGCCATGGCCATTTTGCACATAATTAGTGGCTTTAGTTTGAAAATTTGACATTATTTGAGAGACATTTTGGACATTGATCAAATTGATTGCCCCACACCCTCATCTGCACTTCTCGTATGTTGTTAGTGACTAAACTCATAGAAGGTGATTCCTCGCAATTACCAGACAGGGAGCTAGTAATTGGATATGGAAATAGCTTAATACATTGCAAATTGCATTTTTAATGGCATTTTCATTCTTTAACTTGTTTTGATGGTCATATAGAATTTTATGCCGCATAAAAAAAATATAGAACTGATTCCTCCAATCAAGAACTGAAACCATTGAAAGCATTGCATAGATAAATAGATGAAAGATGCATTATTCAATTAATCATAGAAACATATGGAAATGAAATAATAACGGAAAGGAAATGATAAAAGAAAATTGCTCAATACCCTGTGCAAAAACCATTTCCAATTGCAGGTAAAATCTCTTTGAAGATTACATAAACACAACCAAATTACATGTGATAGATATGGGCATATATAAGCATATGCACCAAACCTGTAAAAACAAAATCTCCAAAATCAAACAATCCAAAATTCAGAGATTCCAAAACCAACTAAAACAACTCTCTAACGATTCCCCAAAATAAAAACAAACACTAATAGACCAAACAAATTTTTCTTCTTCTTCATATTTCTAGTTATATATCTCTGGCAGTTTTTGCTTCATTAAAGCATCAACCAAAGACACCAAAAGCCAGCAAAACAACAGAGAACGACAAATAGAAAAATAAATATAAACTCAAGGCACCCTGCACAAGAACACGAGCAGGTTAAGTAATAGCCCAAAAGGGAACCCCTCATGCACACTCAAGGCACTCTGAGAAGCATTGTTGGGACCAACATGAGTCATTCTTGGTAGTCCTTCGCTCAGCACACTCCCTCTAATCAAATAAAATTCACCAAATTTTGACAAGAAATACCTAAAAATATAAGCTTGTTAAGTGGACCTTGGAATAGGTAATTAGAGAAAAAAATTCATATTCAATTGAATTTTCAAAAATTATGAGAAGATCATCGTTATATAATTTACACACTAGTATAAAGTTCAATAAAGAAAAAATTTATAGATATTCAAACTGACCCACCAAAAATTAGAATTTCAATCTAAAATTTCATACCAAGTGGATCTTGAGAGTTAATTCAACTAAAAAACTGCAACAGAACATAAAATCTAGAAAATATTAGGCTCAACAAGAAATACAAGAGAATAAAAAGAAAAAAGAAACAAAATCAAGGAAAATGATCGTTGCTAGAGGGTGATGAGATGGGGTCCAAGATTTGAATATATAACAGTAACACATCATACCTGGGCTGAGATGAGATCGAAGATGGCGCGCACAGTTTGCATCAAGCCGTCGTCATTATCAAGAGAGAAGAGAGCTAAGAAATATGTACATGGTAGGAAGACTCAGTCACTGTCGTTGAGAAATAGAGAAGTTGGCAATTGAGATGGGTGGATTTTGGTCGCCATCGAGAGAGTGATAAAAGAGTAGCTTTTCTATTTCAGAAAAATAAATCTCAAATGAAATTAGGGATTAGGGTTGAGATGGAGAGATATGTTAGGGTGTGGCAGTTTTAAAAAATTGGCGCACCGGTGCGCGAGGTGCACCGTAGACGTTGCCCCCAATTTAGTGCCCAATATGCTACTATATCGGGCACCAAAAGTGTCAATGCAACTCTTTTTGTGGACACCAATACCCAATGCCCATTGATCTCTCTTTTTAGTAGTTTTGAAACAAATGAAGCGCTGGCAAATAAGTAATCATCTTAAGTTGATGTCTCTAGCACAAGTGTTTATCATCTTAATTTAATGATAACTTGTTTGACTTGTGTTTATTAGGCATGGAGCAATGATAGAGTACATGCATGCCCCCATCAAGTAAAGTATTGTGGAGACGAGATTAGATACTCACTTGGGCTGTTTACATTCAACAATGGTGTCATACAAGTACCGGAAGAACTAGTGGATGAAAGCCACCCACTACTCTATAATCCTTCTGATAATCGTGGGTTTATACGGGTTTTCACTACCCCTAAATTTGATTATATCAAAGTAATAGTTTGTATACTTATTGGCTTCTAGATACATTGTCACGTGTTTATGGGAAGAGGAGGGCAAGTAGGCCTAACCCAGTAATGAAGAACCGTGTTATGGTTCAATGGACGCGACTACATTCACAATGATCCAGTAATGAAGAACCTTGTTACAGAGACATCGAAGCTAGACATCGTTGTTGATGACACAATTACTTTTTTTATCTTTCATACAACTACGTCATGATATTGATTGTCATATTATGCTTTGAACTTTCTTCAACTTATGGCTGCTGATTGAGCATCATTCTCTTGACTTTTTTAGAAGAATTATTTTGAGTGTAAACAAACCCTAAAATTAATTGAGTACACCCTAATATTTTAATCAAAATGTAAAATTAACTAAGTACACCTTATTTAACTACCAAAAATACCCTTGGTACACCCTAATACACTATATCACATAACACCACAATACCAATCCCAAATCTATCACCTTCTAAAAATCAACAACCACTTGAGAGTCCTGATGTTCTCAAAACTTGTTATCCAAATAAATTGGCTGGTGATTTACATATGTTTGATGGCTCCTTGGTCACAGCAAGAACTTTCATGTGCTCCTGCATAAACTATTGGAAGGAGTTGTCATGGAACAAAGTACAAAGCTATGCTTGACTTAGGTCATGTATTGACCGTGAAATGGCTAGGGAGGGTATTGTGGGAGCAAATATTTTCGTCTCCAATCACAGCGCGCCACATGGAAAAGAAGATTATCTCTTTTAATTAATTAATTGAACCAGTTTATCTGGCCAATTAATTAATTGGGATAAATATCTTAATTAACATGATATTATCTTTATTTAATAAGATAATATCATTAATTAAGATATTATCCTATTAAAGAGAAGATAATGTCATTATCTCATATATTATCTTCATAAAAAGAGATAATATCATTTAATTCAGATATTATCTCCATAAAAAGAGATAATATCATTAAATCAGATATTATCTCAGTCTGACTCGATCCCTACGAATTTGGGTAGAGAATAAACTCAGCATATTCTCTACGAAACCCTAGCCCCGAGGCTCCTATAAATAGATGACTTCATTCATCATTCAAGGTACATCTAAACCTACTCCTTATACCCGAGAAAATACCCGAAGCTCTCTCTTTCTCCCTCTCCACTCTCCATATTTTCTCCACACGGCTCCGGCCACCACACACGGCTCCGGCCGCCCGGTTCACACCCTACATAAACACTACTCCGTACCCTTTGCTTAGCTATTGTTTTCTACAAACACTCGAACTAACTTAGGCATCGGAGGGCCTTTGGCCAACACCCCCCGGGTGTGGTCTATTTACTCCAATCTGTTTTACAGGAATCGAGGAAGAGAGAGAAGGAAGATCGAAGGTTGAAGGATCTAGAAGCAAATATTCTCCCGTGAGATTATTTGCACAAACATTTGGTGCTTTCATTGAGAGCACGAGTTATACTCAACGCGTGCTCAAGGAATCCGTTCCTCATATTTTCCAATCCACCGAAGCCTTCCAAACAACCATGGTTGGAAGCAAGCGCACGAGGAGTAAAACCGCCGCGATGGCTCAATCCGTGACGGCCCAAAGCCACTCCACCCACGATCCCGCGATCAACATGGTGGCACCACCACCTCTCGCCACCGTGCCACCTACCGGACCCGCGACCGAATCTAGCAACCTCCGTGGCACCGCCGCCGAACATGGTGGAACCTCCCATCAAGGTGGGCTCGTTACCACCACCGACTTAGGGCCGGTCTTGGAGCAACTTCAAGCGTTCCCTCCATTGCCTCCACGCTCGACACACGTTCTCGCGTACACCTCCAGTGAAACCCTAGCCCGTGTGCAATTGGGCTCCACACCCTTCTCTCCTCCCGATCCACAAAGTCAAGCAGATCTCAACCTGAGAGTTGACCAGCTAGCTCAGAGAGTGGACGACCAAAACGCTCTTATGAGGCAGCTCCTTAATCAAATAAGTGTGGCTCAAAATCCTGGCCTTGGACAACCAGGTGAAGTGAGAAGAATAGACGAACGCACCGGTGGGCAGCTCAACGGGCACCAAGCGGGTCGAGCAGGAGCGAGCAGACAAGGGGATGCACAACCACGTGATCAGCTTGCCGACATGTCGCGAGCATCTGCAAGCCACACACAAAGCAACGTGCGAGAAAGGCTTGGCCCACGACTTGACGTCCGTGCTCGCCTGGGCCCGCAGGGGAATGTACTTCAAAGGCTAGGCTCCCAGGGAGATCAAACTGACAATCGCCGCAATGAGGATCGTGAAGAGAGGCACTCCATTGCCCGCTCCCGGAGAACCAACTCTCGCCGCCAAGCTGCAGAAAATCCCTCGCAATCACAGTCCACCAACACGCCTCCTAGGCATCGCGGACGAGAGGACCGACCCTTGCAGACCAACGAGGAGGTCAATCAGCGTCGCTCGAATCGCAAAAGGCGCCAACGTGATCGACCAGCACTGCGCGTGGAAGACGTTGAGAAGCTTGTGAATGACCGACTTCGAGACTTGAAGACTAGCGGGAACCTCGAGGATGCACTACGTAAGGAGATGGACCAAGCGATCTCCACTCCTTTCACCCCTGAAATCGAGCAGGCTACTCCCCCGAAGCGATTCTCAACGCCTTCTTTTACGCATTTCAAGGGAGATTCCGATCCCGAGAGCCACCTAAAACACTTCAAAAGTGTCATGATCCTCCACAAGGCCGACGACGCACTGATGTGCAAGGCATTTGCAATGACATTGCGAGGAGCAGCTCAGGACTGGTTCCACACCCTGCCATCTGGGTCGATCAACAGTTTCAAGGAGCTTGCCTATGTCTTCACTAAAGAATACACTTCTTATCGGACGATCAAGAAGAACCCAGATCATCTGTTCAACCTGCGCAAGAAGCCCGACGAATCCATTCGAGATTACATCAAGAGGTTCAAAGCAGAAAAGGCCAACATCGTAGGGTGCGACGACCAAATCGCATCATCTGCCTTCAAGAAAGGTCTTCCAGCAGAACACGAGTTATACCGCGAGCTGACTATCACTCCCAGCCAGACTTTAGCAGAGGTCTTCGCGACCGCAGAACGCTACGCGCTCTGGGATGACGATCGAATTGCCGCGAAGAAGTCCACTGAGCAGGGAGATCGGCAGGCCAAGCGGGCGGGCCTAAGAAGCGATGGATTTAGCAACAAGAACAAGGACAAGCGCAGGTCACACCCACAAGAGGACGCTAAGGCAGGAGAGAACTACACCAAGTTCACTATCCCTATACATCAAATCCTAGCCCAAGTGAAAAACAAACCTTGGGTAAGAAGACCGCCACCCTTGAAAGGAGATCCAGACAGGAGGGATACTAGCAAATACTGTGCCTTCCATGGGACGCATGGACACACTACGAACAACTGCTTCGCTTGGAAAGCACACCTCGAAGAACTCGTGAAGGAAGGTCACTGCACAGAATTCATCGCTAAGCAGGCCATCCAACAAATAGAGGACCGCGACACCGCCAAGGAGCCGCCCCAAAAGGTCATAAGGATTAACACAATCCTAGCCGACTCCGAGGAATCTGGGTTGACCAACAAGGAAAAAAAAAGGAAGATCAAACAAGCCACTATGATCTCCCAAGTCTCAACCGACATTCCGCTAGCAGAAGACGACCCTATAATCGGCTTCCAAAAGAAAGATCTAATTGGCCTTGATCTACCACACAATGACGCTCTTGTCATCAGCATTCAAATCGCTCAGGCCATGGTCGGCCGAATCCATGCAGACGAGGGCAGTGCGGCCAACATCCTACAATTGACAGTTATCCAACAGATGGGCTTAGAGGCAAAGATCAATAAATCAGCCAAGTCGCTGACTGGTTTCAATGGAGCAACAACGGTCACCGTAGGCACGATAGAGCTCGACGTCTACGCCCCACCTGTAATCAGCTCTCAAACGTTCATGGTCATTGATGAAGTCTCACCCTACAATGGCATTCTAGGCAGGCCATGGATCAGCAAGATCAATGCCATCACCTCCGCCACGCATCAGAAGATTCGCTACCCAATTCCTTGGGGTGGGATCGGCCAAATCAACAGCGATCAGGCGATGGCGAGGAAATGCTCAGCTCAAGGGCTGAAGAAAGGCAAGCAAACACAGTTCCTCCCTGTGAATCAAGCAGATCTAAAGGGAGTAGAACAAGCAGATGAGGAAGCAGATCCCGTTCCTGACGGCCGAGCAGGCCAAAAAGGAAAGGGAATAACTACTCCCCAATAGCAATCAAAGAATCAGGACCAAGTCGAGGGAATCCGTCCGGAGGTCTATCCTGAAGAAGGATGGAAGCCCGAGGAGGACGTTGAGCTAGTACCCCTTGATCCTGACAAGCCAGAGAGAACAGCGCGGATCGGCTCGCGCCTAAGCCAGGAGGAAAAGGCAGAGCTTGTAGCCTTCCTCCAGAACAACAAAGACGTATTTGCATGGTCACCCTCTGACATGCCTGGCATCGATCCCCAAATCATCTGCCATCGCCTACACGTCAACCCAGCCATCAAGCCTGTAGCGCAGAAAAGACGCAACTTCGCCCCCGAGCGAGTCGCCATCATTGAAGCTGAGATCGACAAGCTTCTAGTTGCCGGTTTCATTGAAGAAGTCTCATACGCAGAATGGCTGGCAAACGTTGTTCTAGTAGCAAAAAAAGATAAAGGCCTGTGGAGAGTGTGCGTCGACTATACTGACCTCAACAAGGCATGTCCTAAAGATAACTTTCCACTGCCGAGAATTGACCAGCTCGTCGATTCAACTTCCGGCAATCAACTGCTAAGCTTTATGGACGCCTACTCCGGTTACAACCAGATCATGATGCATGAAGACGACAAGGCAAAGACCTCTTTAATCATCGAAAGAGGTACCTACTGCTACAAGGTCATGCCCTTTGGGCTGAAGAACGCCGGGGCAACCTACCAAAGGCTGGTGAATAAAATTTTCAAGGAGCAAATCGGCAAGACTATGGAGGTCTACGTAGACGACATGCTAGTCAAAGCTCCCGAGCGAGCAGACCACATCGAGAATCTTGCCGAGGCATTTAGCATACTCCAAAAATACAACATGAAGTTGAACCCGAGCAAATGCACATTTGGAGTCTCGTCCGGCCGATTCCTTGGATACTTAGTCACCCAAAGAGGAATTGAGGCACATCCAAATCAAATCAAGGCTATACTCAACATGAAGTCACCTGCCACAACAAAGGAGATACAAAGTCTAACGGGTAGGGCGGCAGCTCTCAACCGATTCCTCTCTAGATCTACCGACAAATGCAGGCCATTTTTCAAAGCCTTGAAGAAGGGACACAAAGACAAGTGGGATGACGAGTGTGAAGTAGCTTTTCAAAACTTGAAAACTTACCTCACTTCACCTCCATTGCTCTCAAAACCGATACCAGGCGAGGACTTGTACATCTACCTAGCGGTGTCCCACTCAGCTGTCAGCTCAGCTCTCATCCGAGAAGAGCTGGGGGCACAACATCCGGTATTCTACACTTCAAAAGCTCTCCTCGATGCAGAGACTCGCTATCCGAAAATGGAGAAGCTCATTTTTTCGCTTGTGGTTTCTGCGAGAAAGTTAAGGCCCTACTATCAAGCACACCGGATAATTGTCATAACAGAATTTCCTTTGAGATCGATCCCTCACAGCCCCGACGCTTCTCAGCGACTCATGAAATGGGCTATCGAACTCAGTCAATACAACCTCCTCTACCGGCCGAAGACTGCTATAAAAGCCCAAGCTTTAGCAGATTTTGTTGTAGAGTTTACGTGGCCGAAGAAGAGATTGTCACGAAAAGCAAGGAAAAAGCGGACGACACCTCCCCCACCGATTCAAACCTACCTAACGACATGTGGCAGTTGCATGTAGACGGAGCATCAAATCACAAAGGAGCGGGAGCAGGAGTCGTCATAATCACCCCAGACGGAACCTTGTTGGAACAAGCTATCACACTAGGCTTTTCTGCTTCAAACAACGAGGCAGAATATGAGGCACTGCTTGCAGGACTACGCCTAGCGAAAGAACTGTCGATCAAGAGACTGGCCATCTACTCAGACTCCCAACTAATCACGAATCAAGCCTCAGGCGAGTACATGGCAAAGCATCCAAGAATGGTCCAGTACCTCGACAAAGTCCAAGGACTTTTGAAAGAATTCCCTACTTTCACCATCCAACAAATTCCACGGGCAGAGAACACTCATGCAGATGCGTTGGCGAGCCTAGGATCAGCACTGGACACCCATTCAGACGCTCCATCCCAGTTGAACACCTTGACCGGCCAAGCATCGAAGAAATAGAGCCGATCGACTCAATGCAGATTGATGAGGACCCCAGCTGGCAAGACCCCATCATCGACTACTTGGTGAATGGAAACCTGCCAACGGATAAGTCCGAAGCTAGGAAGGTCCAGCAGAAGGCCGCGAGATACTATATGCACGGCAGCAAGCTCATCTGTAGATCATACTCCAGCCCTCATCTCACCTGCATAAAGTACCCTCAAACACTTGAAGTCCTCTGCAAAATTCACTCGCCCAGAAAACTCTGAACGTAGGCTATTTCTGGCCTACCATGCGCCACGACTCTGCTGAATATGTCAAAAGATGTGATCGTTGCCAACGATACAAGCCGATCCCTAATCTGCCTGCCGAAGTTTACCATCCGCAAAACAGTCCATTCATGCAATGGGCCATCGACTTAGTGGGTCCCTTGCCACCGGCGCCTGCCAAGAAAGAAATGATGATCGTCGCCACCGACTACTTTACTAAATGGATCGAGGCCGAAACTCTATCCTCTACTAAAGAAGCCGATGTGGAGTGATTCATCTGGAGAAATATCATCTGCCCACAAAACACAACAGTTGTCCATAAGCAGCGTCCTTTGGGAGACGCAGGGCAACGACACAAGTGTCCTTCGGGAGACGCAGCCCATAAAAAGCGTCCTAAGGGAGACGCAGGGTGCGCCAGGAATTTCCTAAGGGAGGTATCCAGGTTCCTATCCGTTCCCTAAGGGGGGCAGGATAGTCATATAGTTGCCCATAAGGAGCGTCCTAAGGGAGACGCAGGGCGACGACTAAAAGCGTCCGTTTGGAGACGCAGCCCACTAAAAAAGCGTCCTAAGGGAGACGCAGGGTGCGCCAGGAATTTCTTAAAAGGAGGTCTCCATGCCTCCTGCGGGAAGTATCCAGGTTCCTATCCGTTTCCTAAGGGAGGCAGGATAGTCATACAGTTGCCCATAAAGAGCGTCCTAAGGGAGACGCAGGGCGACGACTAAAAGCGTCCGTTTGGAGACGCAGCCCACTAAAAAAGCGTCCTAAGGGAGACGCAGGGTGCGCCAGGAATTTCTTAAAAGGAGGTCTCCATGCCTCTTGCGGGAAGTATCCAGGTTCCTATCCGTTTCCTAAGGGAGGCAGGATAGTCACACAGTTGCCCACAAGCAGCGTCCTTTGGGAGACGCAGGGCGACGACCAAGCCAACCTAAGAGATATGCAGAACACGTCCGAAGTCCTTCAAGAGGAACCCTGACACTCATGAATCTCCAAAAGGAGATGTGCAATCAAGACACTAGCCGGTTACTCAAGCAGTTCACAAGACAATATGCAAATTGAAGTTGAAAAATAAAGACTGAAATTTTCATAGCAAAGCGACCAACCGGCCAAGTTCAAACAAAAGAAGATGGTCAAACAAGACCAATTATTCTAAACAAAAGCAGACTACAAAAGTTGAAAAGAAATAAAGGAGTCTTCGTCTACTCCGAAGCGCCAGCAGGAGATCCCTGATCTACAACCTCTTCAGCGTCCGCCTGAACAGCCACGCTTTCAGCAGCTCCACATGCCTGATCTATGACGTCTGCCACCACCTCATCGGCTGCATCCTCCTCTGCTCCATCCTCCTCAGCTACCGCCTCTTTAGTCACCTGCTCTTCAGCTCCTTCGATGTTCACAGCATTAGCCTTCTCACTTTGCGCAGGGGGCAAGTCTGGATAGAGCATCTCGATGTCTTCATCTCCAATGGCGTAGAAGGGATCATATCCTCTTGTGCAGTCCAGGTAGCCCAACTTGTACGCGTCCATGGCAACTTCGGACTTGGATTCCTCAGCAGACTCATGGTAGGCGTGAAGTCTAGCTAAAAGCTTGTCATAGCTATGAGAGATGTCGGCATTCTTGCACTCAATGTGGAAATAAGCATCTTTTCGACTTGCCAAGTCAGCAGCAGAAGAGTTAAGCTCGGAATCCTTCTCAGCAAGGGAGCTCTTCAACTCAGATATCATCGCCGCAAATCAGACGTCTTCTTCTCATAACGGGTCTGCTCGGCGGAAAGTTTGCTAACTAACTCGGCATTCTTCTTCTCCAACTCGCTGAGCTGAACAGAAGATGGGGCAACAGCAGACGAGTTCCGAATGGTCTCAGCAGCAAAAACTATTCCCTTTTGAAGCAGATGAAGTGTCGCTTCCTTTTGCTTTTCCAAGGAAAGACTTGAAAAAGTACCAAGATCGCCAGCCTGACGGATTTGGTCAACCAGCTCAGCACAAGAGGATGGACTTGATAGAAATTGCGTCTTTAGCAGATCAGACACGCCTGCATCCCCTGCAGGGCTAGATTTGTCCACCTTTGGATCAGTCGCTGACGTTACAGAAGAACCTTTTGTCCAGGCAGATGACTCTCTTGCTTTCCTAGCCTCCGCCAACCTCACTTCCAAAGGAATTTGCGACGTCGAATCAACTCCATGCTTGACTGCTCATGACTCAACAGTTGAAACATGATGGTTGGATGGATGAGCAGACTGCCCAGATCGACTTTCAATCTTCGACTGGTACAAACGACTCGAATTTCGAAAAGGAGCATCCGCATCTCTTTGCCTCTCAACAAGTGAGCTAGATCGTGCACGGACTACTTTACTGAGCATATCACGATCTCCAAACTCATCAGGCTTGAGCTCTCGAAGACTTGACATCAGCCTTCCTTTTTTAGGGGAGTTTAGCAAAACACTCCTCATGTCCAGCAGGCAGATCATCAAGGCTCGGACCATCCTGCTTCCATCTATCGACATCCTTAGCAGGGGGCAGTCCACCAACTTCCTCCTAATCGTTGCTCAGCAGCCGCCAGCAGCCACCGCCGCTCCAATCGTCTTTGGCTGCCAGTAACGATGACAACCAACCTGGTCCCACCCAACTGGTCCTCGCCTTGAAAAAGAGAAGACGAAGGAAAATTTACGTGCTCGACTTACTTTGGGATGCACGGCAACTCCTCTCTTCGACAAGCAGTACAAAATTCTCCAAGATCTTTCTCAAGCTAGAAAGTAGAGAAGTTAAGTTTGCGATGTAAGAAAGAGTGAAGAGAAGCCCTGTATTTATACAAGTTGGACAACCCGGGTCAAGAAGGAATCTCAAGCTCTTTCCTACTGGGAATCCAACTCCAACAACAGTCAGAAGCCTACACCAATTGAGAATCCGATCTGCAAAAGGAGTCCAACTCACAGAAGAAAGCCCAGACTCAGTTGGAGAGCCCGAAAAAAATAATTTCATCTCCTACATGCCACACAAGCGCCATGCAGAAGCTGGGGGGCATTTGTGGGAGCAAATATTTTCGTCTCCAATCACAGCGCGCCACGTGGAAAAGAAGATTATCTCTTTTAATTAATTAATTGAACCAGTTTATCTGGCCAATTAATTAATTGGGATAAATATCTTAATTAACATGATATTATCTTTATTTAATAAGATAATATCATTAATTAAGATATTATCCTATTAAAGAGAAGATAATGTCATTATCTCATATATTATCTTCATAAAAGAGATAATATCATTTAATTCAGATATTATCTCCATAAAAAGAGATAATATCATTAATCAGATATTATCTCAGTCCGACTCGATCCCTACGAATTTGGGTAGAGAATAAACTCAGCATATTCTCTACGAAACCCTAGCCCCGAGGCTCCTATAAATTGATGACTTCATTCATCATTCAAAACCTACTCCTTATACCCGAGAAAAATACCCGAAGCTCTCTCTTCTCCCTCTCCACTCTCCATATTTTCTCCACACGGCTCTGGCCACCACACACGGCTCCGGCCACCCGGTTCACACCCTACATAAACACTACTCCGTACCCTTTGCTTAGCTATTGTTTTCTACAAACACTCGAACTAACTTAAGCATCGGAGGGCCTTTGGCCAACACCCCCCGGGTGTGGTCTATTTACTCCAATCTGTTTTACAGGAATCGAGGAAGAGAGAGAAGGAAGATCGAAGGTTGAAGGATCTAGAAGCAAATATTCTCCCGTGAGATTATTTGCACAAACAGGTATAGCAAAAGGAAGGAAAGAATTTGCAAAAGAAGTAAAGAAACTAGGAAACATCAGACATCCGAATGTAGTTTCTCTGCTCAGTTACTACTAGGGCCCAAGGAGCATGAGAAACTGATTCTATCAACCTATATTAGTGCACAATCATTGACATTCCATCTCCATGGAAAGACTGCTTTCTATCTTTCATTTTAGGATTTGAAATAAGAATCTCCCGAATATTGTTCCATGTGTACACCTTGATTTTATTAGCAATCTTTCTCTCCTCTAAAGAAATAAGATTTTGCCCTGGACACCAAGCAATACAAAAACTTCTCTATGTTTGATTAGGGTTGAATATGGTAAGTAGGTTGTATTTATTAAAACTATATTGTTTCAAAATTCAATACATCCCTTTTGGTCATTTTATATTAGGGTAAATTAATAATCCAATACTACTTTGGTAGTAGGGTGTACTCAGTTAATTTTAGGGTTTGTTTAGCTGCACTCATTATTTATCTTTCAATTCTAATTCATCAACTTGTCACCATTGTCTGCACCCTCAATTTCTATTGTCTTGAATTCTTATTTTATATGAAGAACCTGTTGGAATTTTAAAAAAGGTTTTAAAAATGTAATCGTTTTATTTATTTAATTATTTTGGCTGTTTTATTTTATTTATTATGGGGATTATACATATTTAACTTTCATGTATTCTTTTTATATTGAATGCCTTAATTCTCTGATTTAATGTGGTCAAGGTTACATGTTCTTGGATGCCAATAAAAGGTCACTCCTCCTTCACGTTTTGTTCACCCGTTTTGTGTTTGCTCTTGTGATGGAAGGGTAAAGTTCCCCATTGCCTTGAAAATCATTGACTAGTCAACAAGTCAACTTTCTTTAGTATGCGAGCCTGCCACTGCCAGTAATAAAAATTCTAGCAGACTTCTTAAAAATAGATAACTTGCGCTCCAAGTTACTGATTTCTAAACAAGGGATTGTGAATTTAGGTGAGAAATATCTCCCAAGTAAGTTCTTTTCTTGCCTCAGACTAGTGAGGACTTCACAATTTTTCACAGTACAAACTGGTAGTTCTTGCCAGAATAAACGATAAGATAGTAAACTGTTTCTAGGCAGAAGTGGCTTTTACAAAACTGAAAAAGGAAAAATCAACTCTAGAAAGACAAAAAGAAGGCTAGACTTCCATTTCTGCTTGGGTAGAAAACTCCTTATCCATGCTGGACTAGGTAAGCATGTGCTGGACTGAGCTATTAACAACTTCAACTGCTAAGCTTTAGCTGTAAATCGATACCAACGTTCGAGTTTGGCAGAGCTCTAATCTATTTCAAGCGCTGGAAGGCTTTTTGAACGGGCAGAATTGCGGCCTCTTCAGTCTGAAAGGGGCAGAAGTGGTTGGACTTGAGGATTACTGAGCTGGAACTGCACTATGGTACCTGTTCTGCCTGATCAAGACTCTCCATAAATTTGTTAAGGTTTTCATATTTGTAAAAACCCAGACTCTGGTTGTTTTGGCTTTTGCTGAACCAAATTTGTAACGAGAGAAATCTCGTTTCGAGTGACTTATTTCTCTGAAGTTTGAACTGGAAGTTCTGATTTGTAGCTGACTTCTTCTTGTGGCTCGAATGAGTTTTTGGTTGCTTCAATTTGTTTGAAGATTCTCATAGATCAAGTGATTATTTTGAGGAAATGTTGGAGTAGGGTTTCTAGAAATGGGCAGCAGATTTTTCTGAAAAAGATCTTTTATTTTTTCAATGCAAAGAAAAAGGGTTTTTATCAATTCTGGCAGATAAGCCTTCCATAGTCAGTTCCTAAGGCAGTCACTTCCTTGTATTTTCTGAAAGAAAACCTAACCTTCTTCTTTAATTCTAACTGCCTTTGTAAAAGCTCAAACTGTGATGATTAGTTTGATTTTCTGTCTGAGCAACTCCCTGCCTTCTACTTATCCTTTTAGAAAATATAGCCTGTTTATCCCTTGGAAATGATGTCTGCCGAATTTTCTAAATACAAAAAAGATTTTGATCTTCTCCTCTGTCTGTGACAAACTGGGGAAATCTTCCTGTAAGAGTGCCTTCACTAACCACCCTGTCAAATTCCTTTGTGACTAGTTGAAATTGTTGACTTTTTCAAAGTCTTTAGGTAGTCACGTGGGCTTCCTTGAGAACAGTTCCTCAAAAAGTCTGCCAAATTGTTCCTGGGCTTTTTGAGAGAAATGGTAGGTTTTGTAGACTGGGCCCAATTCACTTTTCTTCTTTTATTGATCTACGTAATTTTGTAACCGCTATTTTAATTTGGCATTTCTTTACAATTCTGTTTTTTTCAAAAAAGACGTGGGTTTATGTCGTGGATTGGGCTTTTTCTTGATATGGTAATTGAAGCCCATTTTTCTATTTTATAGCCTTTCCTTGCGAAGATGGGCTGGTGCTTTTAAATTTCTTTTGGCCTAAACAATGCCCACTTAAGTCTGAATCGTTTTAAAACGGTTTCAGACTTAATGATTGGTCAATCAGTGATGTACACCATTTCCTGCCGTTACACTAGCGCACGTTCTGCCTATTCAATTAGGCTTCGTGGGGGAAATGGGTTCTAACGGCTAATTAAATCTGAACAAAAACTCTTCCTTCCTTCTCTCCCATGATTAGACCTGGCAAACGGGCTGAATTAATGGGTTTCGGGTCGTGTTCGTGTCAACCCATTAAGTTAACGGGTTAACACGACACGAACCGTTAAGTTAACGGGTGACAAATACTAGACCCAAACACGACCCGTTACAATTCGCGAAAATCCGACACGACCCTTAATCCGTTAAAAACCAAAAAAAAAAAAAAAAAAACACGCCATCTCTGGCTTTTTTGAAGAACCAAAACCAACAACTCAGATAGAATCAATACCCACTAAAAGCTTCTACATTGAATCAATATCAAGTTTACCTTGATAGGAATTTTGAAGAAAAATAGCCCCAAAGTCCCTTCCACCTCCGTATCAGTATCAAAGGCTATTACACCCCTAGCCAAAGCTTCAAGCAAGTAAAACACGTCGTGGATGACGGTTTGCTAGTTTGCTGGGATTGAGTGTGGGTCGGGTCGGATTGGATCGGAGCATAGTATACATAGTCTACAGACTCGCCCTTGGAGGCCATTGTTTTGTTCGAGCAGAAGAGAAGAAGAGAAGAACGAGAGGAAGAAGAAAAGGAAAAGGGGAAAGAAGAAAAAGACACGGAAAAGAAGAAAGAAAAGGGGAAGAAGAAAAGAAAAGAAAAATATTTTGCAAAATTACAAAATTAACCTCCTTAACGGGTGGCTGACGGGTTAACCCGTTTTCGACCCGATACAACCCGTTAGCTTAACGGGTGGCTAACGGGTTCACCCGTTTTCAACCCGGCCCAATAAGCTCAACCCAAATACTGATAATTTCGTGCGAATTCATGTCGTGTTACCGGGTCGTGTGCAATATTGCCAGGTCTACCCACGATCTTCCTATTTAGCTTTATAAAATTTTTGCCGAACTTCATTACTGTCATCAAAACCTAGCTCTGTCCCAACTTCTATTTCTTTCGAAACCTTCTGCTTTTTGGTTCTATTCCTTTCAATCCCCCTTTGTTCGTCCGATTCTGAGAGAGAGAGAAAGAAAATGTCTTCTCCAAAAACTCGTGCCAAGGGCTCCTCTTCTTCTCGATCTCCTGCTTATCTTACTGGAGATGGGGTCGATGATCATGCAATCGAGGTTCGTAGTAAACTTCACCTATATGCATGGAAGAATTTGGATGAAAACGTCCTTCATCTGTTTGAAAACACCCTTGTTATGGGTCTTCACTGGTTTGGCTCGGTGCCGGAAGAAATGGCAATTTGTTCAAGGAAGATGCTGAGGCTCATCTGTGCTTCCAAAGTTCTACGGCTCTGTCTTCTCATACCTGGGTCAGTAAGAACTTGAGTCGTTCTTATCCTTCAAGTGAAGTGAGGAACAATGCAGTGAGATGGTCTAATTGGATCGATAGACTTCTCATGAGGCATGAAGCTTATTGGAGGAAGGCTGGAATTCACGACGTAATCCTTCTGTCTAAGAATTTTGTCATAGAGACGAGAACTTGCTTGCTGCTACTTTGTGCTTCTGGAATTCCGCCAGCAACACCTTCGATTCTCGTCTGGGTTGCATTACTCCGACTCTGCTGGATCTGGCTCAAATATTTGGGTTCAGGGCCCATCAGAGGCCTGCTGATGCTGTTGGTGACTACCATAAAGGAAAGAATCGAGGGAGATTGGCCAAGCCTTTCCCCATTCCTGCTGCCACGATTAATCAGAATTGTTCCTTCTCCAATTTTTTAAAGAAGTTTAGTACTGAAAAGGATAAGGATCAGTAACACATGTTGTTTCTCCTATACTGGTTGAACAAGTTCGTTTTCCTCAACCGCTCCTCGGCAGTTCTGCTGTAATACAAGGACTTGGCAGAAGCCTTACACAATCATGCTGATGTGGGACTTGGCCTCACAGTTCTGGCTCACCTGTATAAGAACCTTCACAGCGCCACTCTGGAGAATCCACTGAATATCTCTACACCTGGCGCATTATGGATGATCCAGATCTGGTTGCAGGTTTATTTCGCAAAACTGAGGTTCCCGGACATTGTTCTGCTTGAAGATCAGGTCTTGGCAGTCCTCTTAATGTCGGCAGAGGTGCCTAAGCGCTCTATTGAAGAATACCTCATGTTTTTTTAGGCACTGTACCAAGAGGTCTGCTGCTCAATGGCAAGTGGTACTCAGAAGAACATACTCTTGGTTCCAGCTTGGACACAAACTCTTTGAGAAGGAGCCAGAAGAAGAAGAAGCAAAAATTGATTTCAGAAAAAGTTCCTGAGTGTAACGCTGCCTCGGGATATGCCTTTTGGTGGGGGTAAGCCTCCTAATTACCATTTGGGAGCGGAAGTCTATCATCCTAACTTTTGCGCCAGGCAGCTTGGCTATCCTCAGCTCATTCCCCCTAAGTCATACAAAGCTGTAATCGTGCTACCTCGTGAAGCCAAAAAATTCGTAGTGCGGATGGTCAAAGGCAGCAATGCTCAAGTGATTGAAGGTAAAATTTCTAGTTCTGCTCCTTTGTTTTGAATTTCTGCATTCTGAAATGTGCCTTAACTCCATTCTACCTATTTGTCTCATATCCTTCTATGACAAGCAATCTTGGGAGACAAAGCGTCTAGGCTGGGGAAGTGGTTAGTAAGTTTTTGAATTCTATCCTTAAGCTTGTTTCTTGCTGGACTGTCTGCTAACCATTTTCTCTTCTATGTAGTTACTTCTGTTGTTGCAGCTGGAGACCTGGAGCTTCCTTTTGGTGACGAGGGGGATGATATGAGACAACTCCTTCGCCAGAAATAACAAAGAAAGGAAGTCGCCCAGGCTCAGGATAGTGTTGTCGAGCCTAATCCCCTTGGTATAATTTTGGTTTTTAATTCTGTTAACCCTTTTGATCAGTTCTGTACTCATTTCTGACTTTCTTCCTTTGTGTAGTCGAAAGCTCCCCTCCTCTTTCCAAGGCAAAGAGGCTGAGAAAGAAGGCTGTTAGTGAGTCTGAAGGGAAAGAAGAAGAGCCTGCAACAGTTCCTACTGAGACCACAGAAATTGATGAAGAGCTGCGAGAGGCCTTTAAAGCCGTGGAACAGGAGAAAGAGGTCTTGAAAGGAGAAAAATAAAAAACAAAAGATGGAGAAGAAGAAGTGAGATTATAGCAAGAGATCCATTCCTTTGGCATCATCTTGGTTTTGTATTGTATTCCCTCTTATTTGAGTTCTGTCTTTCTACAGGAAGAAATTCCCGCTGAACATTGAGTTGGTGAAGAAACAGCAAGAGGCCCAAAGAGCAGACCCTACCAGTTTAGAATTGGCTCTTTTCGATGATGTGGAGGCAGGACATTCTACTGCTATTCTAGCATTTGAGGTAGTTCCTATTCTTTCTTAATTTTGTATGGTTTCTACAATCTTGTCTACCTTTATCTTTCTAATTGAGATTCCTTTCCTTCTAGGTGGAGGAGGGCAGAATTGCTGGGACTTTGGCTGTGGTAACCAGTCCTCTCAAGCCTCCCATTGTGGCCGTAAGTATCGCTGTGTGTTCAACTTTCTTCCTTTTTAGTTTTTAGTATGGAATTTACTGAAATCATTTCTTTGCGAATGCCTATTCACTCAATTCCTAGTTCACCAGCTACTGCCTCATTTGCTAATCCAGAGCTGGCAGAATTTGAAGCCATGGATCTGGATGCTCAACTGGACAGACTAAAGCAGCTCAGCCCTATTCCTGGAAAGGCCAAGTCTAAAGTAGTGGATAAGGCAGTGGACAGAGTAAAAATATGGCAGTCAACAGAGCTGGACTTGGATGAAAATAAGGAAGCCATAGATCAACTAATGAAAGATCTAGATCTGCTGCACAGGCAGAATGTGGCTCCTAAGCCCATTCTTGAGATTAGCCTTGGCTTGGCAAGAGACGTGCTCAATCTCCACAATTGCTATGAAGATCTCAAGCCCTCGTTCAAAGCTTCTGAATTTTTCAAAGCTACTAATGAAGCTAACCTGGCTGATTATCATAAACAAAAGGTAGAATTGGACATGATGGTTGCTGATTATAAGGAAACCAAAACTACTGCTGATAAACTGGGAAAAGCACATTGAGGAACATCAGAAGCAGCTAGCTTGCTTAAGGGGCAAGCAGAGCAAGCTTGGGGCTGGATTGGGGTACCAAGACCAAGGCTACTTTTCTTGTACAAAACATGGTTGCAGCTTCTAGGCCGACATTGGAGATTGCGGAGGCCTCTCTTCATCAAAGGATGCCTCTCCAACAAGAAATTTCTTCCAAGAAGGCCGGATTGCAAGAGACTCTTAGGAAACTAGGACTTTAAATTTCAGATTTTAAATGTAATAAAACTTTAGTCATGGAAAATGACTATATTTAATATAAAAGTTATTTTTGTGGAACTCTTTTTGCACTTGCAACTTCTTTTGTTAAATAAAAGGAATGCAGAAAACTTAACAAATTACAACAAAAGACAAACTCTGAACAGAATTTAAATAACAGTTTCATTTTGTTTCCTTTCTATTCCAGGATCTATTTGTACAGTCTGTGAATCCCACATAGTTGGATAGAATTTCTTCAACCATTTGCCATTGATTGGTGCAGCATGAACATCTCCACCTCGATCCTGTAGTCTAATGCCCCCAGTCCAAGGACTTGCTTAATTATGAAAGGTCCTTCCCATGTAGGTGACTATTTTCCATAACCAGCTATATGTGTTCCAAGGGGCAGAATGACTTTCCAAACTATTTCTCCCTCTTCAAAACTCTTGTTTTTTACTATTTTGTTGTAGGCCCTTGACACAGCTTGTTTCTTGCTAAGAGTTTGTTGAGGGTGTCAATTCTACTTGTATCCAATCCTTCTAGTTCTAGCAACATGGCTTGAGAGTAGTCTTCTCCAATCAGACCGTGTTGATGAGAAATTCTGAGAGATTGGACTCCTATCTCCATTGGCAGAATTGCATCATGACCATAGGTTAGAGCATATGGAGTCATGCATGTTGCCTCTCTCTCTTTGAAGTCCTATATGCCCACATGTTTCTAATAACTTCTCGTGCCACTGTTTTGGATTCTTCTCAACATTTTTTTGATAATGTTGATGATCACCTTGTTACTTGATTCTGCTGTCCATTGGCTTGAGAATAATAAGGAATGGATTGAAGTAGTTTGAATTTGAATGCTTCTGCCATATCTAGCATTTCTCCAGATATGAAAGAAGATCCCTTGTCAGTTGTGATTGATTATGGAATGCCAAACCTTTGTATGATCTATTCTTCTATAAACTGATGATCTCTTGAGATGTAGTGGATTAACAGGCTTGGCTTCTACCCATTTGGTGAAATAGTATGTAGCTACAATGATAAAATAATGTTGTTTGCTACTGGCTGGATAAATCTTGCCAATGAGATCCATTGCCCATCCTCTGAATGGCCATGGCTTGACTACTGGATTCATGGGAACTGAAGGAGCCTACTGGATTGGGCGATGCCTTTGACAAACCTCACATCCCTTGGAATACTCAATGCAATCTTTCATCATAGTTGGCCAGAAGTAGCCATACCTCCTAATTAACCAGCATATTTTTCTTCCACCCTGATGAGCTCCCCAAATTCCTTCATGGGTTTCTCCCATGACCGTCATGTATTTTTTCTTTCCCAAGCACCTCAAAAGTACCTCATCTTCGCTTTCGGACCAAATCTCCATTCCATATAAGGTAATTTAAAGCCATGATTCTGACTCTTTCTTCAAAAGGCATGGTCGAATACTACAAGTAATTTATGATAGGAGTTCTCCAATCATCTTTAGTCATTATGACATAATTGATATCTATCTCCATTCCTCTAGCTATAACAGATGGTAGACTTTGCTTTCCTACTTGATAATCCTTTTGCACACAATCCTCAGGCTTTTGCACACCTGTTTGAGCCAATTCATTGGTTGCAAAGTTTTCTTCTCTTGGGATATGTTCCCAAGTAGCTTCTTGAATTCTGTCAGAAGATTCCTGGCTGCCACTAAATAGACGGCTAGAGAAGGACTTAGACACTTGTACTCTCCAGCAATCTGCTTCAATACAAGCATGGGAATTTCCCAAGATTTCCACAGACTGGATTCCTAATTCCACCAGTATTTCGAGGCCAATGATTAAAGCTTCATATTCAGCTCATTTAATTCAAGTTAGCCTTTTCGCTATGTGTCTTGTAGTACAACTCCTAGAGCTTAGGGAAAAGGAAAAACATATGGCGTTCAATAGGTGTCACTCGTGCCAACTTGTCACGAATGGCATTCTAGTAAAGAATATAGTGGAGTTAATTAAGAAGCGGCACAAAGATGAGCTAGAGCGAAAAAGAGTTAAGGCGCAGCGAAATCGTCGACCATATAGAGGACCCATAAGGATATACACAGCTACAAAGGACAGTCTCAGAAGTCTTAGGATCGCTATGAAGCTTGGTGTATGCGCTTGTGGGAGAGGACGAAACATCAATAAGCTACTTCGATACAAGAATCTCCTAGTGTAGTCTGTGAAACCATCGCCCCAACCTGAATCACCTATTGATATTTTGATGGCACCACTAATAGGGAGATAGTGGTACTTGACCCATTCCCTGCTAAGGAGAACAACATTTCATGGCGGCGGCGATACCTATTGTTTTAATCAAATTTATTGGAGTAGTTGTTTTTAAGTTGGATTCAGGATTTATTTTAGAGTCAATACCTTAAATAAAGAGAAATTCAATTTCTGTTTCAAGATTATTAAGATTTGGTTTTATTTTGGATTCAATAAAGATGTTTTTTGTATCTCAGAATTCAAAGACAATAAAGATGGATCACATTGTCTCAATTATAATAAAGATGGTGAAATTTTAATGGCTAAATCAAGTAAGAAAAGGGATTATAAGTGAAGGAACACCCACTAGGTTATGGCACAGGCGTTTAGGGCACATTTCAAAAGAAAGAATGAAAATTCTAGTTAAGGAACAAATCTTGCCATCATTGACTTTCAGTGATGACAAAATTTGTATTGAGTGTGTCAAAGGAAAACTCACTAAGACTAAGAAGAAAGGTGCAACTCGTGGTAGTAATCCTTTTAAAGATCATCCACACAGTTTTTTGTGGACCTTTCCCTCATCAAACAATTTATGGAAATCGTTTTTTTTCATCACCTTTATAGATGACCATTCTCGTTTTGGTTATCTGTATCTCATAGCAGAAAAAGTCTCAAGCTCTTGAAATGTTTAAGATTTTCCAAACTGAAGTAGAAAGGCAACTTGAGAAAAGAATCAAAATTGTGAGGTCAGACAGAGGGGGTGAATATTATGGACATTTTGATGAAGGAGGATGGCGTTCTGGACTTTTTTGCTAGGTATCTACAAGATAATGGAATAGTTGCTCAGTACACAATGCCATGAATTCCGCAACAGAATTTTGTGGCTGAGAAAAGGGATCGAACCTTGAAGGACATGGTTCTTAGCAAGATTTGATTTGCCTACGATTTTGAGAGAGGCGATCAAAACAACAAACTATAGAGTGCCTAGTAACTCCGTACCTAAGACACCTTTCGAAATTTGGACTACCAGAAAACCTAGCATAAGACATCTCATATATGGGGTTGCAAGGCTGAAACTAGAATCTATAACCCTCAAGAGAAGAAGCTTGATCCTAAAACGATAAGCTGTCATTTTACAGGTTATCCCACAAGGTCAAAGGGTTTTAAATTTTATTGTCCAAATTATGGTACCCGAATTGTTGAGACTGGTTGTGCAAAGTTTATGGAGCATGAGGAGGATGCCACTGGGAAAGAAGATTTTATTTTTGAAGAAGAAGGTGATGTAGCTGTGATTGAGTATGTTGAACAAGATGTTACACCCTTAATTCCTTTAAGTGAAACTGTATTGGAAAATTCTCAATTTGAAAAACCAGTTGAACCATAAGAACAAGCTGTTGAGAATCCTGAGCTAGATGATCCACAAGAACCTGTACAACTGAGGAGATCTGACAGACCAGGAAGATCCACAACAAATTCAAATTATGTGTATTTACAAGAAGCAGATTTTGACATTGGAGATGAGGCTGGTCCAACAAGTTTTAGAGAAGCAATGGAAAGTCAGAATGTAGACAAATGGAGGAAAGCGATGTTGAATGAACTTGAGAGCATGAAGAATAATCAAGTATAGGAATTAGTTGAACCCCACAAGAGCCAGAAATTGGTAGGCTCGAAATGGGTATTCAAAACAAAGAAAGATAAGGATGAAAGAATCAAAAGGTTTAAGGCTAGATTGGTAGCCAAAGGATTACCCAAAGGGAGGGAATTAATTATATTGAGACGTTTTCTCCAGTTTCCACCAAAGATTTCATTATGTTTTGGTGGGCCATTATGACCTACTTTTACATCAAATGGATGTAAAAACTACTTCCATGAATGAAGAACTTAAAGAGGAAAATTTTATGAGGCAACCTAAAGGGTTTGCAAAGGAGGGAAAATAGCATATGGTTTGCAAACTTGGCAAGGCAATTTATGGACTGAAGCAAGCAAGAAGGAGGTGGTATTTCAAATTTCACCAAACTATTTCCTCTTATGGTTTTGACGAGAACATAGCTTACCAGTGCATTTATCTAAAGAAATGTGGGAGTCGATTTATTTTTTTGGTGCTGTATGTGAACGACATACTTTTGGATACAAATGACCACAATTTACTGAAGGACACCAAGGAGCTACTTTCAGATAATTTTGAGATGAAGGATTTAGGAGAAGCTGGGCATTGAGATTCAGAAAGGCCGAGCTCGAGGCCTTCTAGGCCCATCAAAGAAGACATACATTGAGAGGGTACTCAAGTGTTTTTGACATGAGTATGTGTTATGGACAAAAAGTTTCGTTAGCTAAGGGAGATTTAAAGAAGGAGCATTGCCCCAAGAATAAAGAAGAAGAAGATGAGATGAGGAACAAGCCATATGCTTCTTTAGTTGGAAGCATTATGTATGCACAAGTGTGTACAAGGCTAGACCTAGTCTTGTGCATTAGCAAGATGGGGAGATTTCAGTCAAATCCGAGAATGCAACATTGGATACCTGGAAAGAAGGTTCTGAGGTACCTACAGAGAACAAAGGCTTATATGTTGATTTACATACGCACGTTTCGAGTTCAACCATGTTTTTAGAATACATAGCTTGCTATGAAGCCACTTCTCATGTAGTATGGCTAAGGAATTTATTAAATACATTAAGGTGGTGGACTCGATTTCTAGACCAATACAAATATATAATGACACCACTGTGGCTGTTTTTCACTGCATGAACAACAAGATGTCGTCTGAACTTCAGCATATTGACAAAAATTATTTAATAGTGAGGGAGAAGGTGGCAGACAAACTAGTCAGGGTTGATCACATTAGAACTCAAGATATGATTGCAGATCCATTCACAAAGTTTTTGCCTTTAGAAGCTTTTCTGAGACATGTTGAGAGCATGGGACTTTTTCCTAGCTTTGATGCTGCAATCTAGTGAGAGTCTTGTTCCCATTTTGATATTTTTACTAGTTTGTTTGGTTTGTTTATTTTGATGTTTTTTGGATTGAGGGATTTGCATTTAAGGATGTCAATTTGGTTGACAGTTTTATTTATTATTGAATAAATTCTACCATTTTGACTATTTAGCTGTTTAAACTTATTATGCAACTTTGTGTATGCATGTGAGTTTATGGTCTCTTTTGAGATACTATTGTTTTAATAACATTTGCGGATTGACTCTTGCTAAGTCTTAAAGGGGTACTTGTACTAAAATGCATAAAGATTCACATTAAGGATCAGTACATATTAAGGTTCGCGTTGTAGGTACTTCATGTGTTTTGAGATTGCATCATGTGATTATAGATGGCCTGTTTTAATAAAGAGAGCAGTGCTTGTCTATAGTTGTTTTGTTTAATCACTTTTCACGGTAGCTTGAGGGGAAGGACTTAATTGTTTTAAACTCATGGCCAATAAAGATTATCAAACCTTTCGAAATACATAAGCTTAGTGTTCTAGTGCTTGATCTAGTGGGAGAATGTTATGTTTTCCTATTTAGATCGGTGCACTAGATACTAAGTCATATCAGGTTTGATAAGAGTTTAAATTAAGTTGTACCTTGAGGCCCAAAACCTAGTGAAATAAAGAAGGGTTTTGAGGCCTATTAAGGGGTCCTATTTTATTTCCATTTATGCGTGAACCAATTAAGTGGGCTTGGAAGATAAGTCAAGTTGGCACTCGGTGATGAGTAGAAACGACTTGACCTAGCCCTATATAAGCTAAAGGCCCTGCTCTCATCAGACACGTTCTCTAAACCTATTGTCATCATAAAGAGATAGCTGAAACAGATTCTGAGATAGAGCAAAAGTCTTGAGCTATTCCTATTCTTGCTAGGATTGCTGCTGCAACGGATTGGATGAATTCAGAAGCTGTGTACTCAAGGAAGATGGCTCCAAATATGTCTTCATGTCTTTATACATGTTACAGTTTGTGTGGAAGATCTTGTTTGTGTATTAAGGAAATCTAATAGATTGTCTCACCGAAAATTTTCAATTAACTAGCACTGGACCACGATCAATGATAAGTCTGCTCCAGCAGAGCTGATCATGTTTGGCTCGTGATTTTAATTAATTGAGCTTTATGCTAATTGCTAGGTGGTAGGTGGTTAAGAAACCTTCAATCATTTATCTTGTGATGATGAGTTTGATTCTTTTTTGGTTGATTACGAGAATTTTATAACCTATCCCATGAACAATCATCTCTTCAATGTGCAAAGATCACTCGCAGGATCGAACTGGTCTGTATGCTGACAGCTAGCCGCTTTGCTTAGAAAACAATTAACAAGGGCTGTAATGGAATCATAGGATTTTTTTTTATTCATGCATATATTAATTAAATTTTTCAATGCATTTGTAATAGACTATAGTATAGTTATCTGTAATTGCAATGACATTTCTGGATAATGATAAATAATGTTTCACGTCGCTGTTGCATTTCATCACCGCCCAGTTTCATAATCTCTTCGTGTGATGCGCATTGTTCATGTTTTTAAAATGCATTATTGAGTAGGGGTGCCATTTTAGACCGAAAACCGCAAAACCCAATCGACAATTTACCGCAATCGCGGGAAACTGAACCGCATTTGCGGTTATGGTTGCGATATTTGATTTTCAAAACTTGCGGTTATCGCAAATCGGGACTATATTATAAAAATAAAAATAAATTGTATTTTGTAGATAGCATTGGTGCTCAAACAACACAACGGGGTCCTTCAAATCCACCCACCACCACTTGAGTTTGTAACTTTAAATTGTAATATTGGTGCATTGCATTTTCCTTTTAGTTTGTGTAGGGGACTTTTTCTTCCTGCAGCTAACGGGCTGGGCTGCTGCAAAAGGTGGACTGAGGAGATTGCCCCTTTTCGTTTAGGTTCGAAAATTAAGCCTCAAAATACCTCGAAAGGGCAGCGAAACCTTAGGAGATATTTTGAGTAATCTTCACCAATGAGAATAATAGTGACTTACAGATAATTTTGGCATGCTTTCAGATGGTTTTTAGGCTCAGCATGAGTGGCATGAGGCATGGAGAGCAAAACCAACATGGGTTTAGCACTAAGAGAGAAATTAGGCTTGGTTTATGAGGAATGAAAGTGTTTAAGTAAGGAATGGGGTGTTTTGTGAGGAATTTTGGCTAGAGAAAGAGAAAAAGAGAGACAGGGTTCTTCCAGCAGCCACCAAAAGAACAAATTGGAGAAGAAGATGAACAGTGCACGAATCTAAGTTTTGCAAGATAGAGAGAAAAGCTTGCTCTCTGCAGGTTGTGGGTTGTGTTTGTTGGGTAGGGGAAGGCCCAATTTATAGCTGCCGGAAATCACCATTTTTCAAGAAACCCTAATGGCTCCTTCTTACTTTGGCTGAGATTTTCTTCCTTTCTCCTCCCCTTCTCTGACTTCCCTTTCTTGGCAAAGATGGCTTCTGTCTATCTTCATGAATTTAGGAGATTTTGGGGGCTCAACATCCCTCTTTCCCGCGGCTGTGCAATGAGGGCTTCCACTCTTAGTTTGCTGTTTTTCTTCCTTTTCTTTCCTCTTCCTTGGCTGAATCTGATGAAGGAAAGGTGGTGCAAATGTATGCTGGTCCAAGGGATGCTTCTGACAGCATGCAGGATGGTATTCATCGGTTCTTTGGATGTCTCTGGCTTGGGACTGGTTTCCAGCAGCTTACTTAAGGAGTCTGCCATCTACTTCACGTGTTCTCTGTTTTTCAAAAAGGCTGAAGCTCTTGTGGGCCTTTTTTTGGGTTTTTCTAAGGGCCAAGATGGCTTTCTAAGCAAATGGGCTTATTGGGCTTGATTTGGGCTTATTATTATTTTTTGGTTGGGTTATCTCTTGGCTAGGTTATTTTGCTTGGGCTTTTGGGCTATTTTTCTCTCTTGTGCTTACCCACATGTTTGGACCTAAGAAATGGGCCTGAGTCTCGAGGCTCCCAAGCAACCCGAGACTTTCCATTTCTTGGTCCATCAATGGGCCTCATGTTGATTTATTACCATCCATGCCACAACCCACTCAAGCAAGCCCCGGGTCTTTTTGAGTGGCTTGGGCCCACTTAGGCTTGTAGCGTGGTTGGGTGCGAGATAACGGCACGGCATGTTGCTCGGCATATTTTACTTTATCGCCCTTTTGAAGGATTGTTTTAATTTTTTTAGCATGATTATATTTTATCATAGCATGATAATTTGTTTATTTAGCGTGGCGTGTGGGTTATAACTTGCATGCGATAGATCCTTTTTTTCTTTTCCCTTATGAAATATTGTATTGGGCTGATAATTGTTCGGGCCCAATCCATGGATTTTTTGGACCTCAACATTAGCCCCCTTAATTATAAGGGCCATGAACAGGTGCTGGAATGGGCCGAATAATTAAACCCAACCCAAAAAATCAGATTTGTATTTGCATAGGACTCTTCTTCTTCCCGTGTGCAAAATGACGGCGTGCCATGATTGGTCCCGGTGGTTACTTGCAGTTTCCAACGCCAACTGCCTTCCTCTCCTTATTTTATTATTTTCCTCCTTTTCTTTCTCTTTTCTTGCACCAGACATCGGTTTCCAAAATTTCCTTCTCCTTTTCACGCTCCAGACCAAAACTTCTCTCCAACTATTTTTTTCTTGCGTTCTCTCTTGCCCTTCCACGAAGCCAGACCAAGGAAGAAAGTGCAATCGGGTAGGAATCACCCATCTCCAGCTGCTGGGAAGAAGACCCAAGTCGAACCCAGCCCGTCGTTCCATCTTCGTTCCAAAGGAGCCCGTTCGTCGCTGCTGGAAAGGTCCTTCTTTGTGCGAATTTTGCCTTCAAATCCCTGGTTTTCTTCTATTTTTGGTGCATTCAACGTCATCCCTTGGAAGATTTAACAAGGTATCCTCTTTTTCTTCCAATTTTCCCTTAGATTGATTGGAGAATTTGTTGGGTTTCTCATACCCATAGATGTTGCCTTTTGTTTTGGCAGCCAAATACCAAAACCCCTTTTCTACCCATCTTGTTTCCGCTGCACCAATAGTGCTCACGGAGTGGGTGCTAGCAAGGAAGGGCCCGTGCCATTGTCTAGGTTTCTTCCTTCGTTGATTTTGCTCGAGCTGCTGGAAAGGTAATTTTTTTTTTTTTTTTGGCTTGGGTTTCTCCCCTTCTTTTTATTTTGCACGGGCTCCCCTTTGTGTGTAAAAGGCTGACTTGGCATGACGTGCTTTTATTTTTTGTGCAGGTACACGCATCTTGGGCATAGGTAGGTGCTGGAAACCCTTGACATTTTGCTGCTGGAACCTTCAAACCCTTCAGTCTTCTAACTTAGACTTTGGCAATAACTCTGCTAACTCTGAGTATTTTAGAATAGGTGTAGACTGATGCTTGGCTTAGGCTCTCCTTTTTTTTCTTTTCTTGAGAACACATGCTTGATCGATTATGGAATTCTGCGTGTGTTGCCTGTGGAGGAAGATAATTGACAGAGTGCATGTTTTGTACTGCCTGGTTGAATTTTTTTATTTTTATTTTTTATTCTGAGAAGGGACTTGCTTGTCCTGCTTGTTGATCACAAAGCGAGACTCTTACTTGTCATGAGCTTGAATTTTAAATTGCATGTTTGCTTGGATAAACTCAACTAGCCCCGTATTTTGCGTGTGCTGATTCTATTTTGCTTCTTTCCATGTTTCTATGCGCAGGTACCCATTATGGCATCCGGTAATCCACCATTTATCATAAGGGATCATCTTTACTCCGTAGATGACAAGTTGAAGAGAGGGAGACCTCCTCCTTTGCTTAAGGGTACCGAGGATGTAATTATTGATGAAGAACCAGCGCCAGAAGCTACTTCAGTGATTGACCCTGCGTCCGTATCAAGGTGCTGCATAGAAAGGGGTCTGTTTCCGGCAGTTCCTTTGTTCTTTCAATATCCCTGCAGCACCAGCAAGGGTTGGTCGGAGTGGGTTGATGCTGAACTGAAGAACCCATCTACCCGTGATATCCTAAGCCGGGCAGGCGTGTTGGAAGCCATCTTTGCTTCTAAGGCTTGCGACATCCATATTGAAGTCAAGACGCTTCGACACTTGGTTAGACGGTGGAGCACTGAGACGCACACTTTTATTTGTTCGTGGGGAGAGTTCACTCCCACGCTTGAGGATGTAGCTAATATCTTCCATCTCCCACTTTGCGGCAGCCAAGATCCTTTCCATATTGCATTAACCGCGGAAGATGGGCCAAAGCTTGAGATTTTGCGAAAAGGTGCCCCGACCTCTCCTAGTACCTCTCTAAGATTCAGTAATTGGATTCAGTTTTTTGGGAACAGTGATCGAGACGAGCCGTGTCGCCTTGCTGCGTTTGTGTCCTTGTGGCTCGGGAGGTTCCTCTTTTGTGATTTTTCTCAGGACTGCTTGCATGGGAGAGTGTTTCCGTTGGCTTTGGCAATAGCACGGGGTAGCATGATCCCTTTAGCCCCCATGTTCTTGGGGCACTTATATCGCTTGCTTGACCAGATTCAATTTCTTGAGAAGGGGGCGGCCGGAACCATGGCTGTGGAGACTTTTGTAAACTCCAGTTTTCTGCAGATCTTTTTATGGGAACGCTTCAAAGGGATAGAGGTATCTCCACTCCCTTATTCAAAGGCTGAGTCACTGGTTGCTTCGGACGAGGATTCCTACGTGCCGGGTAGTCTTCCTCTGATCTGTAGATGGTTCCGTCGCATGCAACGGAAGGGCCAAAATTTTTTAGAGCTGCTGGACGATGTTGAGCAATTTATTTTTCGCCCTATTGTGCCTCATCAGAGGGCTTTAGAAGTATGCCCTTCTATGCTGATTCTGCTGCTTTAATGGAGGCCCTGGCCATGCCAACACAAGGTTGTTGGTTACGCAGAGAGGCATTGTTGAGTGCCGCATGCCTCCCTCTGCCCACATTCGGTGATGACCACTTGGAGACTTCTGTACATTATTCCCCTTACCGGGTTAGACGACAGCTTGGGTTTGACCAAGGTGTGCCCTCTTGCCCCAACCATGGAGATTCCTTGAGCTTGCACAGGGTTTTCTGGACTGGTGACAGCGTGCCGGGAGACGGCAGGCCTCTCGCCCTTGCTCTGGCCAGCCGGAAGCGCGTTGGTGGTCTCTCAAAGGCCTACCAAAATTATTGGAACCGCTGCTTTGCCTCGTTCAGCCGATTCCATGCTGCCCATTGTGATAGCTTGATTCCCACCGTCATTCATCATGCCCGTTTAGTGTCGGAAGAGAAAGCGATTTCCTTGAGCGAGAAGCGAAATCTGCCTTTTATCTCCAAAAGCGGAGAGATTGTTGGTGACTTTTCGAAGCTAAAGCGGAAGTTGGAAAAGTCGGGTTCTCATAGTGCCGGGAAGAGTGTTGCACATGGGAAACGGAAGCGTGAGGAAAGCTGCAGCGCCGAGAAAAGGCAAGCTGTAAAAGAACCGAAAAGGTTCATCCCCAAGGTAGCGGCAGGTGGTCCTCCCAGCTCAAGAAAGGTTGCCTTGCCCGAGTCCTTACAGCAGCAGCCTACAGCTTCCGGCAGCAGCGAGCTAGCAGCTCCCAAAGCTTCATCTCCTCACAGTAAGTATTGCTATTTGTTTGCTCCCTTTGTTCCCCGCTCTTTGCGTATATATAAGTATCCCTTTCATCTTATTTTGCAGGTACTTCCCAAAGTAAAGGCAAGGGTAAGGGGTTTTCCGCGACCCCGAAACGTCGAAGCATGCGTATTCTTGAAACGCGGTTTGCTAATACCCGAAAGAATAAGGGTGAAGACTCGGGACCCAAAGTAGTGGTGACTGTTGATGATAACAGTGATGATGATAGTGATGGCGATGGCGCTGCGGGAACTGAGGCTAACATTCATGAGCAAGAGAGTGCTCACGATACGAGTGGCATGGACGAGGACTTTGATGAAGGCCAATACGATAGTCACGACGAAGACACCTATCCGGCTTTCGGCACTAGCTTGGGGGAGTTCGATGACCCAGATACGACTCCCGCTTTGACTGGCGATCATGGACAGCGTGTCGATATTGAACTGGTATCAAATATCCTTCTTGCTTGTTTTGCTTGGAATATTGACATTGCATGCTGCCCGTTGTGTCCTCTAGTTCATACTCCGTCTTTCTTCTGCAGGTCGTGCCCGCCATTGAAGGCACAATAGGTGCTTCATCAGAGGCTGATTTTGCCCTTCCCACTACTGTCGCTGAAGTTGTCCTGAGCCTTCCGGCAGTGCAACCTCCTCCTTCTCCTAACCCATGTACTCCTGACATGGCTGCTGACGTCTCTCCGCCACTCTCAACAGTTCCTCCTCCTATTTCTCCAATTCCGAACGCACCTGACATAGCTTCCGGCACCGCTCAACTCCTTCCAGCAGTACATCCCCTTACTCCTCCAATCTCGAGCACTCCTGACATAACTTCCGGCACCGCTCCACCTCTTCCAGCAGCACATCCCTGTGATAAGAATGTTGATGCTTTTATCGCAGGTTCCTCAAAAGGGCCTTCATTCGAGAAAGGCATGTCTTGGCAAGATTGGGAGAATTCCTACACGGCATTCAAAGCCTTCTTTGATGGTGGTGTCACCATTCTTAGATCCATTGATGAACTTCTTCCGCTTTGCCACAGATTTGATGGTTATGCGACATTCCAAGGTGCCCTTGTGTATCCAGAGACGGTTGGAGCCTTGAGAAAGTTCATGGACAAATACGGGAGTTTGCTGGAAGCTACAGATGTCACCTCCTCTTTCTCAAGGGGTACTGCCCTTCGAGCGCTTGGCTTAGTACTTCATGGGATGGACACCATGCAACTCCTTGATATTACAGATCATAAACTGCTCTGTTGGCGAGATGCAATATGCGAGGCCATGATTCTGGGCTTTCCTGTGGAATTTCTCCTTAAACTCGTGAAGAGCTTGGCACGTGCCGTCTTTGGAGCACGGGCCATTCGTAGTATGCAATTATCGCATGATTCCGATGAAGTAAAAGCCGCTGCAGACGCTTTGAATATTAAACAGCAAGAGTTGGAAAACCAGCGCCGGGAGATGCATGCCCTTCTCCTTGCTAAGGGTGTTTCTGTTGACAGCGCTGAGTGCGTGACGGAGGCAGCAGCCAGATTATCTCCTGGGGCTTCCTTTGTTCTTTTCGGACATTCCCCATAGCTTACAGGTACTCATTTCCTCCATTATATTTTTTTTTATATTACGTATTCCAGCAGCAGCTATTTTTTGACACACATTTTCTTTTATCTTTTGCAGATTGCCCATCCTTGGCTTAGTGACCATTTAGCTTGGCTCGTGATCCTGCTTTTCTTCGTGACTTAAGGGCGCGTGAACCTTCAGCAGATGCAGCTTTATTTTGCTTTGTTTGTAGTGTTGTTTTTTTTTCTTTTGAGACTCTAACGACTACGTCGTTATGCCTTTGTAATTTTGATATTAAACTACTGAAGCTTGTATGAATTTCCGGATGCTTGAGGCATGTTGCATATTTCCTGTGTAGATATGTATATGTACTGCTTTGTTGGCCAGAATTGTCTTTATGGACTGCTTGAAATTTTTTTTTGACAGGTTGGATATCATTGAAAACAGGGTATATGCTGTCAAAATTTTTTTTTAGAAACCCAAATTCTCGAAAGCTTCTTTTGCATGGCTTATCTAGATTCTAAGCTTGACAAAATAGCTTCCCATCTTTTCCAAAGGGTCGAACCAATATATGCATGATTTCTACTCGGGCTCCATAAAGCTTCCAGGTGTTGTATCGTATTGTTCCAGCATCTCAGAATTGCATGTTTCTTTGTAACATGCCTTATGCTGTTATTATTTTTTTTGGCTTAAGCGTGATGTTTGGGGACCCCATCTAAGTGACTTTGCCCGGCATATTTTACTGCTAAGTAGCATGTTTATATATACATATATGGAAAATTTGATAAAGGATTAATAATAGTAAGGTTTTGGAGACACAATATATTTTTCAAAATATTCCTTCATCTTCATTGCAAAAGCCCTTGCTACCATAATGGTGCATCATACAAAAGTGTCTTTTTTTTTCAAAACGTGAAAATAAGACAGAAGGAGTCTTTTTTTTTGACAGAAAGAAAATACAAAAGTACTAGGCATAAAGTTAACTTAGCAGTAATAGAGCTTGAGCCACTTCCCATTGACGGGGTCGGTTAGCGTGCCTTCTTTGACAGAGACCAAGCGATAATAGCCGCTGCTGTGAACCTCTTTGACTGCAAACGGGCCTTCCCATTGTGGCGCAAACTTGGAAGGTCCCGACACTTGTCTTCTTACATGCTCCGCAACTTTTAGCACGAGGTCTCCTTGCTTGAAGGCGCGAGGCTTGACTGTCCTGTTATAGGCTTGAGCTACGGTTCTGTGGTACAATGCTGTCTTCTTTTCGGCTACCGCTCTTTTTTCATCCAAAGCTTCAAGGTCCAGCAGGCGCCATTCCGAGCATGACTTTGTATCCCATTCGAGGTCGTTAACAGCTGCTGTTCTGGCAGTGGGGATGGTAATCTCTACTGGTGAAATGGCATCGGACCCGTACACGAGTGAATATGGCGAGAAACCTGTGGCACTTCTTGAAGAGGTGCGGTAAGCCCATAAAGCATCCGGCAGGTGAACACTCCAACCTCCTTCATACTCATAAACCATTTTGCTTAGGATCCTCAATAAAGTCTTGTTTGTGGCTTCCGCTTGACCATTTCCTTGTGGATAATAAGGCGTGGAGCGGCGATGCTTGATACCATAACCACTAAGTGTCGAGCTTACTTGCTTATTGACAAACGGGGTGCCATTGTCAGTGACAATCTTGTATGGGATCCCAAATCTGCATACAATATTTTCACGAATGAAATTGGCAACGGCAGCTCCCGTGGCCTTCCGCAAGGGAACCGCTTCTACCCACTTTGTAAAATATTCGGTGGCCGTGAGGATCCATATGTAGCTGTCGGATGGTGGATGAATAGTCCCGATCAAATCAAGCCCCCAAGTATGGAAGGGCCAAGGGGTGCGCATGTCTTGTAGCAGCGTGGGAGGCTTATGGCTTAAATTGGCATGAACTTGACATGTGTGACACCTCTTCACAAAGTCGTATGCATCATTCTTCATTGTAGGCCAATAATACCCAACACTCAGCAGCTGCCGGTAAAGCTTCTTCATTCCTTGGTGTTCACCACATTCTCCAGCATGAATCTCTTGCATGACTTGCCGTGCCTCAGACTTTCCCAAACATTTTAATGGCTCACCATTAAACCCCTTACGGTAAAGAGTTGACCCATCTATGAAGTATCTTTTCATTGTCCTTTTGAGCTTGCGTGCATGCTTGGGATTGGTTGGCAAGACTCCATTAACGAAGGATGCCAAGTATGGAGCCCTCCAATCCTCCGCAAATGAGACGGTGAATGATTCCTCGGTGGAAGGTATTTTTGCACACTTGGGACAATTGGCTTGTATTTCAGCTGCTTGTTTCCTCATTTCTGGCCAGTAATAACCCTTGCGCTGCAGGCGCCGGTACAAGCTGATTATTGGTTCCAAATTGCAAGTGACCTCATGTACCTCTTGAAACTTCTCCTGTGCTTCTGTTATCCCTATGCAGCGTGTCAAAATACCTCCCGGAAGGCGTCTGTACAGTTCCCCAAAGATGATCGCATAATCCTTCAATTCTTTGATGTTGCTTCCTTTGCCTATTTTTTCTTTCACAAGCTTCCTCCAGTCATCCTCTTCCAGCCGCTCCTCTTGAGCCATTGCTTCAACAACTGGCGTGTCCTTCTTGATTACTGCAATATTGGGCTGTTCGTCAATAAATGAGAGCCTTGACCCCAAAGTGGCCAACGCATCAGCATATCTATTAGTGACTCCCGGGATATGTTCCAACACAACTTGTTTGAACGAACGAACAAGCCTTTCAGCAGCTGTACGATATGGTGCCAATGCTGGTTCCTTCACGGCGAAATTTCCTTGTAATTGACTCAGCACCAAGTTTGAATCCCCAATAATTTTAATTCTTTCGACACCCATTTCCCTTGCTGTAGACATCCCTGCAATAAAAGCTTCGTACTCTGCCGTATTATTTGTGCATGGGAAATTTAGCTTAAACGAGAGGGCCGTGGCTTGCCCCTCGGGATTGATAAGCACCACACCTGCCCCTCCACTCTTCGATGTAGAAGACCCATCGAAGTAGAGGGTCCATGGTTCTGCCTCCGTGACAACAGCAACCATTTCCGGCAGCTCCCCCAGAACTTCCTTAGAGATTGTTGATTCTTCAACTTCAGGAAATAGAGCCAACATGTCAATAACGGCCTGCCCTTTGATGGCTTTTGGAGTAGTGCAGGTGATATCGAACTCGGACAGCTGTAGCAACCAACGTGCAAGGCGTCCGGATAATATCGGCCTTGTAAGCAAATATCTTACGGGATCAGACTTCACCATGAGATGTAGCTTGTGAGCAAGGAAGTAATGTCGCAAGCGCTGTGCAGCATAGACAAGAGCAAGGCACAAAAGTTCAGTTTTCGGATATCTCACTTCAGACCCCCTTAGTTGCCTACTTACGTAATAAATAGGACTTTCTTCCCCACTGTGATCATCTTGAGCAAGTAAGGCTCCAACCGCTGTGTTTGTTGCAGCCAAATAAAGCTTGAGAGGAAGCCCCGGAATAGGTGCTTTCATAGTGGGCAGCTTGGCGATTATTTGTTGCACCTTCTTGTAAGCTTCTTGGCACTTCTCACTCCATTCATACCTCTTGCCTTTCTTGAGCAATGGAGTAAAAGCACTCATGGTGGCAGCAAGACCTGGGATAAAGCGCCGAATATATGATAATCTTCCCATAAAGCTTTTCAATTCTTTTGGGCTTTTAGGCGGTGCAAGAGAATTTATGGCTTTAGTCTTCTCAGGATCCACATCTATGCCACGCTGATGTACTTGAAACCCCAAGAATTTACCAGATGAAACCCCGAACGCACACTTCTTTGGATTCATCTTCAAACTGTACAGCCGACACCTTTCCAGCACTCTTCTTAAAACTTCTTGATGGCCTTCTCTGGTTTTGGACTTCACCACAAGGTCATCCACATAATCTTCAACCTCTTTTCCCATCATGTCGTGAAACACTGCTGTCATAGCTCTTTGGTAGGTGGCGCCAGCATTTTTGAGGCCGAATGGCATGACCGTATAATAAAAATTCCCATACGGTGTTCGAAAGGCTGTCTTTTCAGCATCCTTGGGAGACATCTTGATCTGATTGTAGCCGCTAAACCCATCCATGAATGACAACAAGCCTTGACCCGAGGTCGAATCAATTAAGATATCCATGTTTGGCAGCGGGAACTCATCCTTTGGGCATGCTCGGTTGAGATCTCGATAATCCGTGCATATTCTGATCACACCGGTTTTCTTCTTCACAGGAACAATATTTGCTAGCCACGTAGGATGCTTGATTGGTTTAATAAATCCAGCAGCTAACAACTTTTCAATTTCCACCTTGATTTGCTTCTCAACTTCAGGATGAAAATTCCTTCTTGCCTGCACGACAGGTTTTGTACCAAGCTCAATATTCAGAGTATGACTTACTAAGCTTGGGTTCAGACCAGGCATTTCCTCATAGCTCCAAGCGAACACATCTCGAAATTCCTTTAGCAAAGATATCAAGGCCGCCCTCTCCTCATTTGTTAAATAAACACTTATGGAAATGGGCCTTGGGGCAGAGGGATCCTCACTCAAATCAATTGTTTCCAGCTGCTCAGCTACTGCTGACGATCCATCTTGCATGTGTCTGGGTGCTGCCATTGGCTCCTGGAAAGCACAAGGCAAGGGTGCCTTGTCGTTGGAACTCCCACAGCTATTTGTTTGCATTACTTTTCCTCCATACTCGGGGCTTTCCCGTAAGACACGGTCAAGCCCCCAACCCCGTCATAAGCGGTACACGATACGTCCATCGGGCAGCGTCACCTTTGAGCATTGGGGATGATCATAGGCATGGTTGTTGACTTCCGAGTGCCTCTTTCTCTCTCGATCGACAATGGTGATGAGCTCCTCATTGCTTAAATCACGAATTTCAGTCCATGAAGGAAGGTAGGTCCCGAAATCCTTGGATGGATTGCTTCCAGCACCTGTGCATTCGGTGTAAAACTCTGCTTCAGAGTAGTGAGCTTCATCTTTGTTGAAAG